ATATCTTGGTAGCAGTGCCTGTAGGTCCATTTGTGGTGCTTTCTCCCACCAATACATTTAACCAATGTACCGAGATGCAGCTCTACACTGGAACTCATGGAAAAACTTAAAAGTGAGGATGTGGTTTCTGTCTAACAGTGCACTAGAGCTATAAAGAAATTCTTAAGGCTTGTACCAACTTGAGCAATTACAAACAGCAATTAGACATGCAAATATTATGTTAAAATACACTTTCACCGTTCCCTTTCATTTCTGAAAAACAAGAGAAAATTACTTCTAATTTTTGGGTAATCTGCTTGGACGACAAATAAACTTCTTGTTTGCTGGCACGATTTTTAACTTCCAGAATTTTTCACTGTCGGGGTGTGAATGTGTGAAATCCCAAGTGTTGGGGCGTTTGACCTCCTTTCAGGCGGCAGACATTCCTGCCGCCTGCGCCATCACTCATTAATGACATCATCAATACAAGAGCAAACACTTATCTTTCATGGCTGGCGGATTCTCACACCTACAGGGGGTCCACTCGAGGACTAACTTGAACTCTGACCTCATCAAGTGACCTCAGTAATAGCGGTGAGCACGCCGATCTTACAATGCATGCGCGGGATGCCAGAGTGACACGCTGAAGAGTCGCTTTATTCAGAGTTTAGAAGCAAAACAAAAAGCAACTTGTCCTCCGGTAGGTTCCTGAGCATCTAATTTAAGTGTTAAGGCAATGTGCCAATGTGTCTTGTTTCCCTTCACTTTGCTTTAGACTTGTTTTCCATCTGCAGGCGTCTTCGCAGTACCTAACACTTCTTTTTTTGTGTGTGTGTCCTCCATTTTTCCTTTAAGGGGGACTTTCCTTTCTCAGCAAAAATGCCTCTTGTCTCTTCATCATTTCCCTGTTTACTTTCTGTATCATTTGTTCTCTTTATTCCCAATCACTTCATCAATCTCTCCCATCTCTACCATCGTATTTTTAACACTTCAACCCCCTCCTCTGCTGCTGGCGACACCCTTTTCTCACCCTTTTTTTTTTTTCATAAGTTTCCGACTAGCAGCCTGCCAGCTCTCCTTTATCTCCTGCTTTCTTTTCTTTCCCCTTCTTGCCTGTTTGAAGTAGCAGCATATTTGCAAGTGAAATGCAAAAGATGAAGAAAGCTGCTAGCGTGTTGTGCTCAGCTTGTATGTTCGTATGATCGTATGACGCTGTGAAAAATTGGCGGCACAATAGCGCACGAATCAAACAGTCCTGGGGCGGTTTTGTGATTGTACAGTAGAGAATGTAAAACTACGTACAGCAATGTGTGAAATTTCACATCATTGTCCACGGATTTCATAAAAATTACCGTCAAGCAACAATACATGTACAGACAATAACTGTTTATAGATTTTCTGCCTTCAATTTATAATAAAATAAATATATGTTGTAAATCTACAACATGAATGTGTTTCTACAAGGTTTTGTTTGTAAAAATAAAATATATTTTACAATAAAACTGCAAAATTTCACACAGGTGTTAACACTACTGATTTATATTATACGATTAAAAAAAACTGCTACTAAAAAACTGTCAAATGAAAGTAAATTTTAAAAAAAATTTGGTGAAAAACCTATACATTTATATATACTTTCACTATAGGTGTTGCAGAAAAATATTATTTCACAAATGTTCTCTTCTATGCTTTATGTTGGAAGTAATAATAAAAAAATGTTGCATAGCTTGTATCTAGAATTAAAAGTTACTGTTAAGATTCAGGTTACATTTATAGTAATGGCATAAACCTTTATTTAAAGAGCTACGTGTTTAATTATAGATAATTATTGCCATCTTATTCAATTCAATTCAATTCAATTCAATTTTATTTGTACAGCGCATATTTACAACAACAAGTCATCTCATAGCGCGTATAATCTTGTAAATGTTACGCAACTTGAGAGAGGAAAAAAATAGTGTATAAATAATATAGTAAAGTTATAATATAGTAAAAAAAAAAAGTAACTGTCGGGGTGTTAATGTACAAATAATGTCTGTAGTTCAACAGATTTCCTATATAATCAAAAAGAAACCAGAAAACTTCAGCAACATTTTAGAGTTGTTTAGATTAAAGTCAGTCAGTTTCAGTCTGTCTGTCTGATAGACACAATAGATAATTTGGCTTGTTTTAAAAGTTATTTACTCTTTTTTAGTCCTTGATTTTACAGTACAATCTTAAATTGAGCGTTAAAAATCTTATTTCAAGATTTCTTATCAAGTAAAATGTACTTGCTGCATGGACAGATAATTTCACTCGTTTTAAGTCATTTTCTTCTCAAATTTAGTGTTTATATCTTATATTTGGGCTTCCCTTTTTTGCAGTGTGTCTGTCTGTCTGTCTCGAACCGTTCTTTCTTTCTTTCTTTCTTTCTTTCTTTCTTTCTTTCTCATTTGCAGCGTAGCAACATAAAGCATCCCAGGATCAGTCATTATAAAGACACAGTGACTGAACAATACTCTGGATATACTGGTTACTAGTTTTTTATTAGTTCAGGAGGCTTGTGGCAGGGACATTGCCAGGACATTCAATAACATTTGCAGTGATGATATTGTACAGATTCGTCTATAAATAGAAATTCAGAAATTGTCCAGATTCATGTAAATGGGTTAGAGTTAGGGCTGATATTGCACAGATTCATCCAACAGTAGAAAAATAATGGCATTAAAAATACTGATATTGCACAGATTCAGAGTCTTCAATATTTTAAAATAATTTACTTTGCACGAAGCATTTTAAATATCCAAAGTATTCATAATCCACAAGTTTAAATGCATTGTTGTTGCACTGGAGTGAAGTACGACAGTTTTTCTCTGCTGGTTACTGGGAGCAGTGTAGTTTCACATCCTTCACACGTTTCGGTGACGACTACTACATATTTATTTAATTTCTGCTTAAAACCATTACTGTTTTTAAGATATATATACGACCCTAAAGCCACACTGTCATCTATTTCACGCCGCAGACGCAGCACCGCTTTGAGCTAAACGTTAACGTCAGCACATTAGCATGCTCGAAATGACAACGCTAACGTGCAGGTGTGATGTTAACCGTGTTCACCTTTTATGTTTAGCAGGCCAGCAGCTAATTAAAGTACAGCTAAAGCCAAAAACAAAAAGTACAATATTGAACAATTTTGATGTAATGGTGGCACTGGATGAAAAGTCAGGTTATCAGAGTCATTAGACAGTCATTAGGGTTCATCCTCTGGGCATCGTCGTCCAATTTCAAGACGATCCATCCCGTAGTTGTTGAGATATTTGCCCCTGAACTAAAGAAGTGGATTGACCAACTGACTAAAATTGGCATTCCTGGAGCAACGCTGCTAGCACGGCTAAAAATACCTTAATCCAACGGTGTCATTAACAGGTCATTACACCCTTTAAACCCCATTAAATAATAAAGGACGTGACCTGATTGTCTTTAGCCTCCCTAGTTTTTGCATTTTTGTTTTTTAAAACAGTGCTGCGACCTGCCTCTGAATTCTCAGCTGAGGCTATCAAAAAACAAAAAGGCAACCAAACAAACAAAAACACGAACACAAACCAAAAATAACCTCCATTTTCTTCCCTTGATGAACCAGACTCTCCGGCAGCTCGCGTTCTGCTCCTCCGTGCTGCTTACCAATACTTAACATTAACACAGACAATGCGCCGCTCTTCCCATGAGCCCTTTGTGACTCATCTAAATCGCTGCCGTTCACCAGTTGCACACAGTTTGGCAGAGAGGCCTATTGAAAGGCAGCGGCTCACTCGGCACATCAGCGCGCCGCAGCCCACGACGGCGGCGACGCAGGCATCCAGGAGAAAAGATCTCTTTGTAAAGGAGAACAAATGGAGCAACGGTGCTCAAAGTGGTTGCCTCTGCCATGGTGTGAGGAGATAATGAAAGGAGTCTCAGAGAGAACGCGAGCGATACAGAGAAAAGGGAAAAGCATTTAGTGTAGCTTGAGTCATGTGTCTGGCCTGTAATGAGTATTGTCTGACTCTGTTTTTCTTTTTTTTGTCAGCCAGCATTTATGAACATGAACATTGTGCAGCAGCTCACAAAGCAGCGACAGTCTCCTCGTTCTCTTCTGTGGTTTGTTTGGGGCCTTTTTTTTCTTTCTTCTTCTTCCAGTCGTATGATTGTCATGTCAAGTGAAACATTTAAAGCTGTAATGCGCTGCAAGTCGTGGGCTCGGGGCGTTAAAGGATACCGTGGCGATGCTGCTTTTTAAGGCCGCGCAAAAGCCCAGTGTCAAAAAAATAAAATAAAAAATGCTTGCAGCTGCGTTCGGTTGCGGATTTTGTTGCTGCAGGCTACAGATGAGAAGATTAAATGTAAACTAGAAAGTCCGGCCCATCACTCACAGCGGTTTACGCTCCAGCCAGGATTTTACATATCGGGAAAAGTTATTAAGGCAGCAGATGCATGTGCAGCATTACAGCTTTGTGTGAGTGAAAATGTGCAGAATTCATTGAAGAGGGGTGATTTTCAACAGCAAGTTGACACTAACTAATGTAATTTCTTTCAGATGTAAATCAGCACGAGGTCAAATTCTTTTAAAATTGCTGTTAATGGTTGTTGATGAGTAAATGACATATTTAAAAATTCTCCGGTGGAACATGTATTCAGGTCATTTACTGATAAATATACCACTACAAGCAAAAGTCCTAAATTTAAAAACATTAGTAAGTAAAAAATATGTAAGTAGATGCAGCAAAAATGTACTTAAAACATCAAAAGTTGAGCAGTAAAATGGTCCTTGTCAGCCCTTTCTCTACACATTACATTTCTATATGACTAAGCACATTCTCCATTACCGTAATATCCGGACTATTGAGCCCTCCTGAATATAAGCTGCACCCGCTATTTACACATAAAGATTTTTTAATCTTTTAATTAAACACTTACCGCTAACATACACAAATCCGAACACTGCCTGTAACACGGCTGGTTAAGAAAATAAAAACTACAGCAGCCTACCAGGAAAAGTCACTGATCGCTATCTTCATCTTCCTCCTGCACTAAAACCACTTAAGTCTTCAGTGTCGGAGTTGAACAGCCTCAGAATTACTTTGCCACAAACTTCCTCAGTTTCTCTGTTATTGTTGCTCTCAATGTCACTTTCAAATCCGTAAAAATCCCTAAATTAGCCGCATCATTGTTTAAACCGCAGCGTTCAAAGCGTGTGAAAAAAGTAGCGGCTTATAGTCCAGACATTACGGTACGGAAGTTTGTGTTCGAGGGATGCTGGAGTTTTATCCAGAAGACCAGGTTTAGAAAAATATCACTCTTTAAAAGACCTTTTTACATGTAACATTAAGCTTAGTTGCTTAAATCACTTGGTTGGTTGAGAGACAGGAAGTAAATTTGTAATCTAGAGAGTAACTAAAGTTTTCGGACGAATGTAGTGGAGTAAAAGATTTGCCTCTGTGACGGGGAGTAGAAGTATAAATCTGAATAGTACAATATCTCCAGTTTGGTATCCATTTGTAGTTGTTATTTTTTCACGAGGAGACCTTTACCAAAACACACCACAACATAATTTTCTCTTTTGACACACAGCAGCTGTAAAAATAACTATGATCCAGCATTTAATGACAATTTTTGGTACTTGAGAGCTGATGCATTTGGACCATATTCAATAATCATGATACTTCACAACACCAGGCTTTAGTTCACCTGCCGTTTTTCTTTTCTATTTGGTTTTATTGTTACTTTTTGAAAACTTTTCTGTCCATTATTCTTAAATTGTTTCTACTATCAGCCTGTCAGTTATCTGTGAGGCCCTTTGAATGTGAAGAGAAAGTGCTGTACAAATAAAGTCTGATTCATCGTACTTCACTGGAGGGACAGAAAGATGTTCAGGCGGCATCTTTAAGCAGGAGATCAGAAATTTTGACCTGATGTGACTCAAACGAATCCCAGTTCAGCTCAGGTCAGCTCACTTCTCACACTAGAAGTCTAATAAGTGTCGACTGCGGCTGCATTTTTCTGAGTTTGCACAAGGCTGCTTCGTTCCAATTAACAGAACTCCTAAAGTGGCATTATAAAATTATAATTTAGATAAAAATGCGCTTTGGGTTTCATGAAAACAGATTTCTTTCTCTCCCTCTTTAGCTCAGTGTGACAGAACTTGACTATTCTGCACGAAGACTTAGCAGCAGTTCTAAATGAAACGCATCAATTAATCATCAGTGATTCACCTTCGCTAATCTGACGGGTTGAAAATTTTCCCCTGAAAGCCTTCCTTATTGAGCGTATGAGCTGCATATTAAAGGGTTAGTTCGGGTTCTTTGAAACTAACCAGCAACTCCAGTGAGGTAAAATTACAGTTTTTGTCAATGGAGTCTGGTGGCTTTGAAGGAGCACGGATGGATGTAACAACTTCATTTCCCTGTTTGAGGTAAAGCGGTGAAAATATGAAGAGTCCATTTGCAAAAACAGATAACTCCATTTATGTAGATTTTCAGAAAACGTATCTGTTTGTTGTTGTCTGCTTGAGATAATATCAATCAAACTGAGTGGATTTGACTCAGTAGAAGTGACAAAAATAGGGTTTGATTGATATCGTCTCAGGTAGACGATGGAAATGTGGGTTTTCTGAAGGTTTGTGAAGCTGTTTTTGCAAATGAACCTTTCATATTCTGAATATAGTGAAGACAGATAGGGTTTTTTTTATGCGGTTAAAATGCATTTTAGTATTTCATCGTCCCATTTCTGCTTTCTGGGGGAACCAAACTATCCCTTCAATGGTTTTAAAATCAGATGCTGCAAATTAGAAAGCAATGCTCACGTGTCCAGACACTTTTGGCTACATTATCCTCAAGCCAACACATAATTGGATAACAAAGGCCTCTGTGCACTGATACATATCCATCTGTTTACCCCACAGTGGCAAGGTGAGACGCAGGAGTTCTGCCCCAACGCCAAAGTGGTGCTGGTCGGCTGCAAGCTGGACATGAGGACGGACCTGAACGTCATGAGAGAGCTCTCCAAACACAGACTCATCCCCGTCACCCACGAACAGGTGAGCGGCGCCGAGCAAAAAAAAAAAAAACACCACTCGGCTCTTAAATTCGTTTGTCTGCTTTTCCATAAAAGCCCGGCTGAGTATCTGCGACTCTCGACTGTGTCAAACCTAGCTTGAAATTAGCTGCTGCTCCCGCTTCCCCAGTCAAACGCTGC